GGCACGTCTGCAGGCTGCCGTTTCACAGGGTGAGGCTGCAGCCCCGCTGCCGCCCCTACCTCCGCCCCCAGTTCCGCTATCTATCACACGACCCGCACGCCGCCCTGTTCATCAATGCTGCTACAAAATGCACAGTTTCAAGTGCTTTAATTGAAGAATTACATGAAATGATTTAAGGCTCCTGGAGTACAGCACCACACACTACAGCACTACACTATCACACGCCACACAACTCCTAACGTAAGCAACATTCACACACAGCGGAACATTCAAGCTAAGAAGGTTTGCATGTTGCATCACGTAATGAACTGTATCAAGGTTTCTCTTCCAGGAATGATAATGGTGCTTAAGGGAGAAGTAATTAAAATACTACAAAAAACACACACCTGACATGCTAAGCTAATAAAACACAAGAGCAGTTGTTGTCGTTAGCTCTGTTTTGTAATTTTCTGTTTTTAGTAAATACATTATTTTTTTTAAAATGAATGCAAAAGGGCTTTGCTGCACTTTAGAACTTTAAAAATCCGTAGAAGTTTTTATTATAAATATCAGGCAATGAATGATTTTAATAAACACAAATGCACCATGAACTTAGGCAACCAGCAGGAATGCCCTAGACAGGAGCAACCCAGGAGACTGTGGCAATGAGGGAAACCCCTCACGGGACAGACCAAAGGGCCTTGCAAAACCCCCTTGCAGGAAAACCAGAGCAGTCGGATAAATTAAATCATATCCAAGCATGGGAAGCRCTTCCCAGAATCCTGGGATGTGCTGGTACCAGGGATACCTGCCGGCAACAGTGGCCAGGGCACTTGCTCATCCCAGGCTGCTGCAGTTTGGTGCTTCCATGACATAAAGTGTTAGGAAAATCCCGTGCCACTTCCCAAGGGGCTTTCATGCAGAGGGGGGCTCCCTGCCGAGCACCGGGGCCTGCACAGGACCTGCTCCCACGAGCAGGTTATCCCGATCGCTCGGAAGGACCGACACCAGAAATGAGTGCAGACCCTTCCACCTGCACGTGAGCCCACCAGGACACTAATAACCAGTCCTGGCTTAAACCGGCACTCCAGCCTCCCGGGCTGGGCCTCGAGCGCAGAGCACGGCAGGGCTGGAGCCCCGGCACGGGGCGGCCACAGCCCAGGCTGCTCTTCAGGCCGGGCTCACCGGGAAGAGAAACACGGTGCCGAAGGGCTGGCGGACAGGCCCAGCAGCTGCGGGATCAACGCTAGGGAGGGCAACGCTCGCGGCCCCCGCACAGCTTTGGGTTTTCCCTACAGTCCAGCTTCTGGAGCAACGATGCCAAATATGACAGGTTTCCTTTTCCYTTTTTTTTCCTTCTCCTGTCTCTTTTTAGGTTCCCCTGGAGCCCTACACACAAAAGAACACRGAGTTTTGTATTTCTAAACTAGATTCATAGTTTTTGAATGTTAGGGGTTAAGGAAACAGCTGCAGAGACCCAACCTCGCAAAGACTCCCACAAGTGGTTTTTTTCCCTTCTTTCCCAGTTTCATGTGAATTGATGGTGTTCCCAGTGTTACTCCAGGACTACCTGCAGCCCTTGCCTATTGCCTCTGGAGCCACAGAGTGCGGGAGCCGTTTCGGCCTGACGTCTCCTGGGCTGCCTCCGGGAAGAGCTACGGCTCTGGTCAGATGGGAAGCACAGGGAAAACGCCACGAGGTGCTTGCAAGAGAGGCAGGGAAAACTGAGGGAAAACTGAGCGGAGATWTGGTGCGGAAAGAAATGAAACAGGATTGCTCCTAGGAGAGATACTGCAAGGAACATATGCCCCCAAATACGTGGTACTCCAGTGATGTGCAGAGCTTAGGTTTATACTGTGAATGTTTGCAATCGTATAAGCAGGGATACACCAAAATGTGTACTGATATCAGCAACTGGGCATTTTCCTACTGACCACAAACTGTATCTATCTTCCTCCACTCATATGCAGAAGGCAAATAAAAAAAGGCAATACAAATGTTTTCTGCCAAATTCATCAGTGGGARAGTCAAGTTTTATTTGAAGTTCGTTCTGGTTTCTGAAGACAAACCTTTGTGAAATCACATCACATTAATGGGAACTCCTAAATCAGAGGAATTATTGCCAAAGGCAATAGTTGGAAGTCTCCTGCTGTGGTTCAGCCGAGAAAAATGTCCCAATTTTCTTGCATTCTGACATGTCACAACTCAGATGGGGAGCTCGCTTTGGAGAGCTGACAGAAGSAGCTGGAATGGAAATGACGGGTGCGTTGCTTTCTGTCCTGGCTACAAGAGCCCATTCCTACAGGTGCATGGCCACAGCAAAATGAGAAATCCTGGCAGTTTTCTTTCCATGTTTTACTCCAGTTTCCTCCATGAGACTCATTTAATCTCCCAGACACCTCACTCCTTCTYGCAAAGTCAAAATCCAGTGCAAATTAATGAGATTTCTGCTTGCAAAATAAAGAACAAAACCGCAGCGTCTTTAGGGACTGGGAAAAGATGAAAAATGCTCCAAAGGAGAAGTTTTGTACCAGCACATCTGCCAAAGGAGCAACACTTCTGTGGGAGACTTCAGAGGAGAAGAGGAACAAAAAGGAAAAGCAGGTGAAACGTCAGAACAGAATGAGGGCTGCTAAAGTGTTGAGGGAAAAGGTCAGCAGAAAGAAACRGCAATGGCAGAAACGACTCTGTTATCCCATGCTGCTTGACAGAGGTTTTCTCAGATCCCCCACACAATTCACATGCTCTGTAATTTTCTGGAGCTACTACTGAAATGTCACACCCATCTAAAATCATGTACCCCCACACACGAAAAGCCTTAGCAAAGCATTTATTATAAGGGATACTACAAAGCTTAGCTCTGCACACAAAAAAGAGGAGCTGTGACTCAAGAAGGATCCTTCTTATATCTAAACAGCAACATCACTGGAAAGGGACTGCAAATGCTGCATGTCCAAACGTGCAATTGCCTTGTACCCTGCAACTGGCTCGAGCACAACACATCCTCCCTGGTTTCTGCAGGCCCTAGGTGACTACCTCAGTCTGGGGCTCATATCTCCATATGGATTTACCCGGGGTGATCCTTCTGATCTCTCCCAACTCACTGTGTAACAGGGAAGCACAAACAAACAAACAAGGAAATAGCCAAGGATGTAAATGGCCCAAGACAGGGWCAGATGTGATGTTAGAAGCTATGTTAACATTTGCCAGAAAGTCTAACAGCCAAACTGCTACATTTCAGCTGATATGATATACCCTTTTAAATATTAGATTTAATCACAGTTGCATAGGACCAGCTATATGATCATGTTGACTGCAGCTCTGGAGCGAGAGCTAGAAACACGACTAGGACCATACAAAAACTATGTTCAAAGGTATTAGCTTGAGCAAAGAAAAAAAATGAAAGGAGGAAAAGAAGAGTAAGAACAAACAGATAAAAGGAGATTGCATTTGGTAACGTGAGTAGCTTTGGATCATGACACAGAAGATGCAACGCGCGGCGAAGCTGAGCAGTAAAGAAAGCCCAAGCTATTTTGATGCTTGGTTAGCCACAGGGAAAGGAGGTTTGTCTTGMAGCTGCATAATTCAAGGCCCGGGAAGCTGGGGCCTAACTGGAAGCTGATCCCCACACACACACACACACGTGTGCTGACCAGTTCCTGCTGCCTCAACCCGAGCTGGGTTTTAACTCCCTGAAACCAGCTAGTTTTTCAAGAGACCAACGTCAAAGAGACAGTAACTACTTTAGTGATGGGTTTTAAGAGCAGCTTAGGCCACTCCTGTGAATAAGGCAGCTAATACTGAGAGGAGAGGAGGMTGCAGCCAAGGGAGCTGCTCTGTCATCACACAGAGCAAGGGGGCCATGAGGCTCCCGGGCACTTCTTTCACTCACAAACTCCCGATCGAGCCTTGCAGGAAAACTCTGCAACATCCCAGGAAGGCTTCAGGAGGTGAAACAAGGCGGGATTATGCATCTGCACCGACCTAAAATTAGACAAGCTGCCATATGGCTCCGCGAAGGCAGCAGCACGTTCCTATTCATTAGGAAGCATTCTGCTAGCAGGAAAACACCAGGCCTTCCTGCGCTCTCCAACACGTTTATCTTTGCAGCATTAATGCCCAACGTATCACCGGGCTGCTGAAGCCTCCTGCGGCGCGTGCGGAGAGAAGGTAAAAAAGCCACAACGCAGCCGCGCTTTTTCGCAGCACGTTTGCA